CACTATTGTTGATAGAATTTACATTTTCCCATATACATTGTTACGAAATTTAATGCTATTTCCAAAGATGAGTTATAAGTTATGTTTTTGTTATCAACCCTCGAGATCAACATCGAATGTGGCAATTTGTTAGAAGTAGTTATTTTTTACTTTATATAATGTGTTAGATCTAAAGGGGTTGCTGTTTTCATGGATATCCACATCATAACGTTAGTTTTATTGAAATAATTACTTAAAGTCTTACATAAAATGTATCTCATTGGCAACATAAAATGATAAATTCCATCTCTCATACATTATTGATGCTACGATCAAAACTGATTCGACAGTAAATTTATGAACTGATGATAGGAAGACACGAAACCCATGAAACTATTACTTTATTAGGATCAGTGCTTTATGGTGATTATATAATCGATTTGAGACTCGATTCATTCGATGTATGGATGTATGTTCACTTTATGTTAAAATGAACCATAAACCATGAACCATGGTCTTATCCATACCAATATCATAAAGCAATTATCTTTCGTTCATTTATTCAATTTACACGTCAAAGTTAACATTACGCTAGTATACGTTCTGATTATCGAATGTGATGTTTTTCTTTCGTGAACTCGTCATAGGAATTTTCCATTTCTTTTAATCCTCTTGTGAACATCAAAGAGGCAGTTGTATTGTATTATAAATTATGCTATCGTATTCTACACCTCTAACGTACATAATATTAACCTAAGGCCTTACATATCTCTCTTACAGTTTTTTTTTATCTTTGCACTTACACAATTAATACCAAGGTATTGCACATCGAGCATTGTTCACGTTCGTTCGTGTTGCTCAACACGTCCCCCCCTTTCCCCCAAAAAACGTTTATGGTAGTTTTTTTACTATAACTTTTCAAACAGGCTATTATTTTATAATCCCCCAATCGTTATGTGAAAACTCAAATCATTATTGTTTGTCCGGTCCAATCTTCATAACGATATGTGAAACAATTAAATTTCGGGCCCCGCTAGCCGAGGTTTACTAATGGGTCCGACTGTCTGGCTGAAGGTAACGTGCCTAATTAATACAGTGTCCGATCGGATAGTGACGTCACTTCTCACTCAGCTGAGCCCTGATAGATTGTCGGTCATTGGAACAGCTGATGAGGGGGAGTTGATTTCCACTGTTGGCGTTCAGTTTTCACTGACTTAAGTGCGTTTGTGTTTAATTGTTCTACACATTGTAGAGGGTTAATGTAAGTAATTTTTAATATCCAATCGTTTAATAGTGACTGAGTGTATGGTTGTTGTAGGTTGTTGTTGGTTGTTGGTGTGGACATTGTTGGGTGGTTTTTACGAGTTAGGTTTCAAAGGCTGTTCAGTGTTCATACACGATGGAAGTTTAGAAATTTTATGATTAGTTATTAATCTGTGTAATGTTCGAACACAGGAAAACTATATAATTCTAACCTACCATAAATTATAAAGAAAATAAAAACTTGACAAAGGGAAATTTTGAAGATTTAATCAGGTGTGAAACAATATGTTTGTAAGAATACATGAGTGATACTGGAAATCTAAAACACCAGTACAAACAGGACAAAGTGTTAAATATTAATTAGTTACCTATACAATTCTACAAAAAGTAAATTCAACATTTCGTTTCGCTAAAAAGTTCTAACTTCTCTTGAAGAAGTCAAGACATTGGGAACCGAAAGGTACAGTAATTCCATTACAAAATCCTATTAGTGAAGACCCGAACGCCAAAGAAGGAATTATTGCTTGCATATTTAACAGCCCTTGAAACAAAGTCGGGGAACATCGCAAATAAATAATATTCCCCTAAGAGGCTTAGGCTTACATCTGTAAAAAGCATCACAAAAGGAGACCCATAAATCGACAGTAATTAAAATGAGACGCAATTACTAGCTGTGGTTACTGCCCCTGCCATCGGCCCATGAAATTAATAACACTGGCGCTTCTGAGACCGAGATCTTAGCACGTGATTTACTAAGGGTTGTCAACCCCTTGTGTCACACCCCTTGTAATGCTCTTTAAACGGTGAATCCTCCCTCGCAGGTGTTTTACGACTGTGTAGAGTTATTGTAGACATCGGTTTTCTACCGGGGTTAAGTGTTGTTCTGTGGTTTGGGGTCGAACAAATTAGTGTAAAGACGAATTCTCTTAGTTCTTGCCTGTTCACAATAAATGTGTTTCAGCGTAGAAACTAGTGCAATATATTCTAGCGGAACACCTCAACATCGCCCCGATCTCTAAACAACTCGGACGTTACAAGTAACATTACGAGTACTCTAATAACTACACGGCGCGGCGTAGACCGACTTGAGTACAGTCCATAAACACATCCAAGTCACTCAATCCGGTCCATTGAGAAGCCTGCGAGCAAACTCCGTCCCACATTAAATAGTTAATAAAACGTTTACAGACATGGCAAACAAAATGGTTGTCAGTAATCGGTGATCGGGAACTGGTTGCGAAGGTTTCCGCCGAAAGTGCGAGTCGCAAACCGGTTGTCTGTCCGTCTGTCTGTCTGTGTTCGTTGTACTTTATGGACCAGTCGCATCTGTGATTTATTCTGCCAAATTGCTCATACCAAGTTTCAGGCTCGATGTAAATAAGTCAGCCGATTTCCCGAGGTTATCCTCGATCTCGTGAGCTTTGTCTGCGTTTGTTTATGAGTTCTCTTTTTGCGGTTCAGTGAAAATAAGATAAACGTGCCAAATTGAACGATTGACTGTAATTTTGCGCTGTAGAGTACATTTGTTTTATTGCATTTTATTTTTGAAATATAAAATTAGAAATAGGTGAATATAAGTTTAAAATACGTTTAATTGCATGGCATCAGTTACTAAGAATTCAACTAACTTTTAATTTCAATAAACTCTAAGTTCATCTCTCAGTTTTTACCCCACCTAGAAAAAGATGACAATAATGATAGTAAAAATACGTACACAATGTGTATTGTCCTAATTTTTCCTTGAACGCTATTTTAAATCAACAAATATTACATTCCACCGGAAGCATGCATAAAACAATACAAATTATCCAAAAACTAACTCTCACGAGAAACAAAACTGGACCTAACACCGATCCTTGTGGGACTCCAATTTTATTCAGTTGCAAACAATGCTATGCAAATACATGAACTCCACGTTCTGCGCAGTTCCGGTCGACGAGTTGTCAAAGCAAGGGAAACAAAACGTGTCAGAATGACAAGTGGTGGCACAGGTTTTCCTGCGCCTGCGAACACGATAAATATTTCGTCAGTTTAGTTCAACGCTGGACACTTCGTCATGCCAGTCTCTCGTCTTTCTTTGGAGGCAATTAAGGCGTGCAACGTGCTGTCTATTCTTTGGCCGATTGTCTATGCCAAACCGATATTCATCCTCTTTTGTGCTTCTCTCAAGAAATATGCGTAAAAACCAACCGTTGTTCTCTTGCTCGAGTTGATCGGAATTTCAATCGGACGATGTCGGATAATGTGACGTTTCGCCTGAAGTGAAACCGGTAATGAACGCAAATAATATTATAACTAAGATACATAGGTAACAGGGAATAATGAATTACCAGTATTCTGTTGAATTTTGAATTCCATACACGGAATATATTTTTGGAAGAGCTGTAATCTTTTTGCTCCTCCACCTCAGACATCATAGTCACATATTTTGCTCTAAATATCTCCTATACAAATCATGAAATAGGCCTAATTCAGTGATCACCTGAGACCACTATAAGTTAAGAGTATATATGTAGCTACTATATTTTTACTATGTAACAGGGAATCCCCCTTGTCTCGAAATTAGAATCGGTAGAAAATAGTTCAAACTACCTTTTTGAAAATGCTGTAAAACTAACTCAGTTAGGAAATGGATATGCCTACATATGATTTGGCTGTTAACAAAGTAAAACGCATTAAAATACTTAGGTGCAAATGTTCTATATTATTTTCACACGCTTTTGAACGGCCTAAATAGCTTCCGCATTTGAAAAACTCAAAAATAAAAAAAACTCGACATTTACGTCGGTGCTCCATCACGGCAAGTTCAACGAAAACGAGGGTCAATCCATCATTTGTAAATAAAATAAAAAGTGGATCAACTTTGGCGGGAGCTGAGGTCGAGTTTTGGAGGGAGCGGATCACATGTAGAACACAATAATGCGTTGCATTCGCTCACAAAAACACAAAATCAAACAAAGGCCACACGCAGAAGGGATCCTATTGTGAACAGGGTTTGCGATACGTTATTGTTATTATCTATGTTTTTTACGGATATCCAGACCAATTCTGCTACTATGGGAGTAATCCAGCATTTGGCATACTGCTTGGTTGAATTAATTAAATATAATACGTACTTGAATAAGTATTGTAATAGTGTAAGTGAATGGATGGATATTCTTGATTTCCTTGATTATCTTATCGATGTTCTTAGCATTCAAAATTTATGGTTTGAAAATGGTTTCTTAAAGAAGTATTATTTAATTCAGTCATCATGTGTTGAGTTTATTAGTGGTTTGATTAAATTAGAGTCATAGTTGATACAGTAGTCGTATATGATGCAATAATGTAGTATACATTTTAAAATAACTTGTTGTATAGACTTTGAAAGTTTAAAATGAAAATTACATTGAGTTACGACCAGAGCAATAAAATAAAGTTTTTCAACATTAACTATTTATTTGTACTGAACCAAAATTTATTGTAACTCAATAACTCCATAACTCAATAATCTTGAATTAAAGTGTTGTATGGCATTTTTTATACGCAAAAATACAGAGTATGAAAGTATTTAGCTAAACACATAACCTAATGTTAGAGCGCTCGTAATGTACTGTTTATAACTTGTATATTAATCATACTACTGTATCAGATTTTGTATTAATCTGCAACAACATATTTCCTGTTGTTTCATGAATGTCGGTATTATTTACATTATGTATATAATACTTGTAACCTCTTTAATGTTTGTGGAACAACATAAACTATTTTGATTGCAGATTTCGTCCGGTTTCCCAATACGGTTACGATACGGGGTAAGTTATCTTTTACTTTTTATATGTAGCAAAGATCGTTTTCTTACGTTCACGCAATAGCGAAGAAAGCATGTTTCGGATTCCTTTAGATGTAATTTCAATTATCAGGTAAAATATAAAATAGGCGTGATAAACTGGACGTAAAATAATAGTTAGAAAGACCCCGTTTCTAAAATAAATAAATTAAAAAAAATTTGTTTCGTGATTTTAAAATTTTGTAAAATTTGTTTCAATATGTTTATATATGTGTGGACAAAGACACTTCTAGTAGCTGATATTTTGGTTTGTTTACAGGTGTCTCATGTCCCACAAAGCGTCCGAAAGGTAGGCAAAATTTGTTAAATCGAAGTTAAAGTCGTAGAAAAATGCTTTGTTGCATGTAAAACACGGGTTTTTATTAGTATTATTCCTTAAAATCGTACATTGTCACATATTTTATATGTGTTTCACATTAATAATAATTATGAACAATACATTCTTAAGTCAATTAATTAAATATGAGTGTACAAAAACTTACCATAGAAAACTGATTACTTAACAGTGCCGTTATATGAACTTTATTCAACAAAATTTAAGTAGATTTTAACATATTCATAGCACAGGCCTAGCAGCGGTTGTACAGATAACTATTCATATATTTATCTTGTTTGCTTGTATGTTGTTATTTCTTATAACTAACATTTTCACCTATTTTCCTCAATTTTGATGTTTCTCTAAATGTAGTTACTAAGCGTTCAGCTTTTGTTGTTAGTTGTTTAATGTTTAGTGTTTCATTGCTTAATTATGGCATGCTTTTTCTACGATTAAATCCATTTTACTCAGACTGTCTAAATCTATAGTGTAGATACAGAGGATTAAAAATTGTGAATATTTGTGTTATATGGTTATTTTTTATACATTTTGGATTAAACCAAAATACGTGGAATATACTATTATAATGTTTTTCAATTCACCACCAAAGTTAAACTTTTGGAGGAAGCTATACAATATAGCAAATCAAAAAACAAATTTGTGTAAACAAATTAAGGTACGAATGTTTTAAACATAGTTCGTCATTTTCAACATCAATTTATTCCACCACTACGTGCGCACTTCTCAAACGCAACATCCAAAATTCGAATTCTATTGACCGTGGAAGTTGACGAATGGGCCAAACAAAAAACTTCACGGACTCAAATAGTTTTTAATAATTCACACAGTCGGACCGAGTGATACGTCATGTCGACGCGAGCGTTTGTTCTCTAGGGAGGTTTAAGTTGATTGTTTCGATCAATCAAAGAACCCTGACAGGAGACTACAACGCGAGTATGTACTGAAGTCGTGGCCCGCTATGAGGCTAGGCTTGCGAGGAAGGCGTTGAACTGATCACGTTTATACTTTTGATATTGCTTGGCCGATGCGATTCAAATGTTTAAGGAGTAATAGCTGCATCTGCACTGTCAGTTTGATATGTGTTGGAATGCGCCAAATGACGAAATGAGGATGGACTTGAAACTATATTAGAGAGGATAAATTTAGAGAATATTCAGTTAAAGAACATTTTCTTTCGAATAAGGTTCCCTAGGCTAAAATGATATAGCTTTGATGATTTTCCTAAGGTTTTTTAATCCAAATAAAATTTGAAATTAGTTAATGTGAATTAGTTAATTAGTTAATTTGAACAATTATTTTTAGGACTTTAAACAAACATACCATAGAATTCAGAGGTGTTTAGCGTGTATTCAACCGAGCTGATTTTGCTAGTTAAAGAATACATTTCAAATTGTGTGCTACTTATGGCATTTTTGTTTTGTTTTAGACAGTTTAGAAAGTAAGGTCGTAAACATCATAAGAAACTTAGTTTGTACATTAGTTAAAACAACGGATTGTCGGAAATTCTCGATTTTATGTACACCTTTTCGTAACTTCCTTTATAAAGGGTTATACACCACGTTAATCTACCAAATATAAAAACAAAACCTACTTCTGGACGTGAAAAACACGAAAACAAACAGTTAAACGTTCCCAGGTGGTTTCCGGTTGCGGACGAGCATTGATAATCATCTGAGTGATAATTACGGTGATTATAGAACATGAAGCATTCGCAACTTAAATCGAACCTTCTCACTTCCTGGCATGAATAAACATGGCGAGGAACTGTCCATAAAACCCGCAACTATTCATTACTCAACTGTAATTCTTGTTGTTGGTCCTTCATTTGCTACTCGAGACGTTCTTGAGTTGTACGCGCGTGTCGGGACCGCATTAATTTGTTATGTTGTACTCTATGCGATTTTTGTAGTAGATAGGGTTATTATAGTAATTTGGAGGGAACAAGTGAAATTAAAATTTTAGTTACAAGTCGGTGGGTTCGAAAAATATTTGTTGAACTAGAGGAGGTGTGTGCCGATTAAAGTTTAGTTTTCTTGAGATTCAACTTTCTTATGTAATTTCAAAACTTTATAGTTTAATAAGTTGGTTAGTTTACGTAACATTAAATTTGTACCTTCACCACAACAAAACAATAAATGTATACCTACTAGTTTTGAACGAAAACATATTTACACGTCTATTATACATGTCTAGACGTACAGTGTTTAACCTAAAAACATAGTTTTATCGTTCTCTCCTGATTCTAAAATCCGGTTCGAAGGACCAAACTTCTGTTTTGAGATGTGAAAGTTTTAAAACTTTAAAAATTCAACTGTAGCTAATAAAAGTGTTATATGTAGTCCAAATATTTGTTTTAACAAACACACGATTTCCATTGTTTAGCAAACAACCATTCTGACTAAATCAAACTCGGCCATTGTTCCGAACAAAACATAGTGGGACGTTGAAGGCGCGCGCTCAACATCCTCTACTTAATTCAATTGACTGAAACGATTAATTCCACCAGTCTTTAGGTGCCTAACAATAGGCTGTTAACGATTTCAACTTTATGTGCTTGAAATGATGAGCGACTAGCTGCCTTTGGGCGCGGCCGGATTGGATAAATGGTAAGGAAATAAAAATTAGTCACGGTCCGAGAATAATCCTAGCTCGTCAAGAATACATTCTTGCATCCTGTTTTGTTTCTTCAATGGTAGATGTGTGCTTCGTATGGAAACAACGAAGGACTATTTAGTTATAACAAAAATTTACATTGGGAACTTATACATCATTAAAATCACAATCAATTCTTTCATGTTAACTACAGTGGTAGCAAAACGGGAGTGCAGATGAAGACCAGGTCAAGTCCCTTCAAACGCACGCACCCCCACAGGTCTCCATCGGCAATGTTTTGCTAACACTGTAATTCCCCCATATATAAGTAGTATTGTTAAATAATTTCCTCGATTTATTACATTAATTGATTATTGGTTCCATAATAGTATTTTGGAAGATAAAAGACTTCGACCAACACTCAGCTAATGATTTGGTCGATTATTTACGCCGAAAATTCGATAATAGGAAACAAGAAATACTTTGTCAAACTTCGAGTGGAGAACAGCTGTAGTGGGATTATAAGATCCAGATCCCGAATGTCCATTACGGCTCGCCAGTAGCAGCTTGCTAGCGGGTCGTCTGTCTGCATACATAATGTATCGCGCCAAATTGTCGCACTTTACGGTCGCCGACTCCTAAGTGGGATGGTCGGACTCCCGGGGGTAAGCCGCGTTGTCAATAAACCGCGGGGGTCCCGGGTCAATCGCGGCGGTTTTGGCGGGAGATTTATGTACATCACGATGTCAGTTGGGATTTAACTATCAAAAACGAGACTTGACATTGCCAAACAGAGATATAAGCTTTCAGAAAAGTGATCACAGTGTTTATGTTTGTGTTACACACTATCGGACAATCAAAATCCCAATTCTTCAACTCACATGCGATCCTCACATCGATTTCAAGTAAAGTTTCCACAGCGTTGATTACACCATGGGTTCTAGGTACGGTAATTTTTTCTGCTCATTTCACTTTACACTTTCCACGCGTTAGCCCAGTAATGTGTTATCCCGGATGTTATTTAGTCACGTTAACGTTTTGACACAACGACAACGACACATACTGTACTTTGTCACAGCCGAGTAGCGCGACCAGAGACGCGTGCGTTCATGGTCGGCCGCGCGTACAAAGCCTGGCCCACTTTGACCGAGCAGGTGCAACGCAAAAGGTAATTCGGTAAAGGATACGTGTCGCAGCGAAATTCCCTGTGGAAAAAACGATGCATGAAGTGCATTTAAGCGGTGCATCGGTGCACTATCCCAAAACGCTCCGCATTTGCATCTTTACTCCGGCACAGTGGTTTTGAAAGTGTCGCCATTTTGGGCACATTGTTACCTGCTACTGTACTCGTCATTTTATTGCCCCCCACTGTCACCCTTGTTCCGATTTTAAGTCTTTTTGAAGCGTTGCGTTGTCCCATAATAATCCCGTTCATTTTGTCCCCTCTACTCCATAAGCCCACTTAACCAGCTGTCGTCGAGCATGTGAAAATGGTGGAGCTTTGGGGGTCGGATTGAAATACATTATTATATACATGGGCAAATAGTGTCAAAAGTTCACCCAAGCCATTGTTTGAATGAAGTTGACAAATAAAAACGCAACGTTTTACGATTTTTTGAAAGTTCCTCAGAAGTCCAATGGGTCTGTAACTACTCAGTTCGCATTTGGCACTTTTTCCAAACAACTCTCTTTAAAGAAATTTGACGGAGACTTATCGAAGTAGTAACTAACTACTGTACGACTATCAATCAGTTAATTAATACATTTATCGAACTCCATCCACCACTGGCTCAACGACTGCTACTCCAGCCCCATGTTCCCGACGAAGCGCCGCCGTGGAAGTCCAGTACGGCACGGCTCTAATGCAGTTGTCTGCACGATCTCGCCAACCTCTGGCTCATTACTCTCTATTGTATGTTAATACGAGATACTCCGCGAGAAATTGGTTCGCCAGTCCTCTAACATATATTCAATTAATGTCCGGCAGACTTGCGACCACGAGTTGAATTTGGCGCCACCGTCCCACCGGCTCTTGG